TTTTATATTCCTGTTACTGAATTCACACTCTCTCACACACACACACACACACACACACACACACACACACTGTTTCAGCCAATCAGCTGTGAGTCTTTTCGTATGCGAGCAGCAGCTGATAACATCAGCTGCTGCTCTGCACATGAATGCATCACACACACATGCACACACACACACACACATGCACACACACACACACACATGCACACACACACACACACACACACACACACACACACACACACACACACACACACACACACACACACACACACACACACACACACACACACACACACACAGAGGGATTATCACACGTTGTTGTGAGTGCAGACACACTTTAAGGGTCGGTTCACCACAGATCGTCATGAATCCGTCTTGAGAGAATTAAAATCATTACATTAATTATTAATCAATGAATCGTTTGAATGTGAGGCACTAATGTTCACCCTGCAGTCACTTTGGGTCTCTTTGTCCGTGTTTGAAATGTCGACAGGATCTTTATTAGTAATTCTGTGATGCTGTGTGCTAGTACTGTCCATGTTTCATGCTGATAATATTAATATATATCAGTAGAAACAGCTGATCAGTCACATGGCGATGCTTACGTTTAAACGTCTGAATCTCACAGGAAACAGACATTTTCACTTTCATATTTTCTGGAAATGTCTCCTCGCCCTGCACCTCCATCGAATGATGAAGTGACCCCTCTCAGATGCATGCTGGGAGATTTCCCCTCCACCGCGGGGGAGTCACCTCCTCCTCCCCCACATGACCCCCCCAGAGCCAAACCTTTATCTAGAGCTGGGGTTCGGGGTTGTCCATTTTGAATCGGCCCTCAGCTAATTCTAAAAGCGTAATATAATCTGAGTTCTCTGAGGCTGGTGCCCCACGAGGACGAAAACGGGTTGTATCCGCGTACTTCTCTTGCGTATAGCCCTGTTTGCCACACGAGGCCGTAACTAAACGATAAAAACGGACCCCGCAAACGATAACGGGTCCAAAGGTGGATAGATCTGGGAACGGAGCACTCTGGGGGGTCCAACGGCTCCGTGTGATCGCCTCTATACGATCATTTTGTGATAATGACGACGCAATAGCCCCGCCTCCCCCCCCCTCTGCTGCTCACCCCCGCGTCAAAGTACACTGCACACTGAATTCAGATTATTTATCTTTCTCTCAATATGGACATAAACGCGAGTGAAGTCTAATCTGACAGGACGGAGACACGCAGCTCCTCCGGCTGTGATGCAGCGAGAGCAAAACACACACTTCAAGTCAGATCATCACCCTTAGCTATTTTAATTACCTCTCAAACTAAAATAGTTATAAATATGTTTATTTTGACTGTCGGGTCATCATTACAGGATCAGCTGCTGCATGAGACAGACACTGACGCTGTGAGAAGAGAGGAAAAAGAGACAGGCTCTGTGTATTTTATTATCATATATCATTATATCGTCGTTATTCATTTGTTTTAAAGCTCAATAAATAACAAAGAAGACCTTTGACCGGCACTTTTATAATTTTGTCCGGAAGATTTAAACTTTAACACACGCTGACCGGCGAAAAACTCTGCCCGGTTCCCTCGCCCCCACCGTGGAGAATACACAGAAGGGCAGCCATGACAACCATTCTTCTTCGCTGCTTTTGTGGAGGGAGTTACAGCGCCACGTACAGGCTCGGCATATGTACTGCAGCTTTTCCAGCGGTTGGAGCTAAACGGAGCTGTCTCGTGTGAACAGACACTTTCCGGGGTCTATTGCGTGGGGACGGAAGCTTTTCTTGCGATTGCGTTTGTGTATGCGTTTCACCGTATGCGTCCTCGTGGGGCACCAGCCTTATAATAGACTTCTTAAGATGAGATAAGATAAGAAGCACTTTATTGATCCCAAGTTGGGACATGTTGCGTTGCAGCAGCATCAAAAGACATAGCATTGTACAATTAAAATAAATAAACATTCCAAAATGTAAACATCTCAATAGCATATAGCATAGCATGGTCTGATCAGTGCTACTTCAGAGCAGCTGGGCTCCATCAAGCGTCTCTGTAACCTTTGTTTACTTCACTTTATCTACCACTTGTTTATTTGCTATGTTGTTTGATGACAAAGTTTCCCCCTGCTTCCAGTGTTTGTGCTAAGCTAGGCTAGTTTCCCCATGCTTCCAGTGTTTGTGCTAAGCTAGGCTAGTTTCCCCATGCTTCCAGTGTTTGTGCTAAGCTAGGCTAGTTTCCCCATGCTTCCAGTGTTTGTGCTAAGCTAGGCTAGTTTCCCCATGCTTCCAGTGTTTGTGCTAAGCTAGGCTAGTTTCCCCATGCTTCCAGTGTTTGTGCTAAGCTAGGCTAGTTTCCCCCTGCTTCCAGTGTTTGTGCTAAGCTAGGCTAGTTTCCCCCTGCTTCCAGTGTTTGTGCTAAGCTAGGCTAGTTTCCCCCTGCTTCCAGTGTTTGTGCTAAGCTAGGCTAGTTTCCCCCTGCTTCCGGTGTTTGTGCTAAGCTAGGCTAGTTTCCCCCTGCTTCCAGTGTTTGTGCTAAGCTAGGCTAGTTTCCCCATGCTTCCAGTGTTTGTGCTAAACTAGGCTAACAGTTTAATAACTAACATGGGATTAAATCAGGGTTTAAACCGGGGACTAACACGTTTTTAATCCTGACATTAAAGCTGAGCAGAATATAAATGATCTGAGATAAAGCAGGAATTATTTGGAGACAGATTAGAGTTTTGTAAATTAGCTGTAAAAGGGTTTAAAGGCAGTGATTAACCTGAAACACACCAGGAATTAACCAGAGGAGGGAGAAGTACTCAGATCGTGTACTTAGTAAAAGTAGAAGTACTCAGATCTTGTACTTGAGTAAAAGTAGAAGTATTCAGATCGTGTACTTAGTAAAAGTAGAAGTACTCAGATCTTGTAAAAGTATCTCAAAATTGTACAACCAGATTTATGTTGAATTAAGATAGATTTCTGGTTATTGAACGCCTCATGGACCTTTGCTCTAGCGCCACCACCAGGTTGTGATTTAAATTCAGATGTTTAAATATTTTAAAGGTCTCCTATCATGCTATTTTTAGGCATATATTATGGGTCTCAGATATATACAAAGGTGGAGCTAATGCCTGCTCAGAATTCTCCCAGCAGAAACTCAGCTAAATGCTGCCATGATGAAACTCCATATCATGTTCCAAACCACATCAAGTATTCCCTCTGAAACAGTATGGAGCTCAAACTCTTTCTCTCTCTCAGGTTTACCACAAGGTGACTTCCTTTTGATTTCCTGCTTCTTCACACATGCTCTCTCCAGTACAGGTTAGCTCTGAGTGTTAGCATGCTAATGTAAACACAGACCATATTACTTCCAGAACACGTCTCATTGTTTCTGACAGCAATGTTTCTGATTGGCCCGTGGGAGTAAAGCCCGCCCACATTTTAGTGATGTCGTCATGACGCAGCAAATCTGGATCAGCTCCGTTGTTCCCCCGTTTTTAGAGATGTGGGTACGGAGGAAAAGAGAGAGGGGTTTATTTCTGATACTTTGAGAGTCTCCTGACACACCGGGGACACACCGGGGACACACCGGGGACACATGTTGATGTAGAAAAGACATCAGAAAGTGCATTTTGCATGATAGGTCCCCTTTAATGCGTAGCTGAGATCCAGGCTGGGAGCAGCAGCTGGTTTTCTTAAGAGACACCAAGCTGTCAGACCCTCCCCCCCTCTGTGGGAGGCATTATACTGGAGGGGGGAGGGGGGGGGTGGCATTATACTGGGGGAGAGGCATTATACTGGGGGAGAGGCATTATACTGGGAGAGGGAGGAGGGGGGAGGCAGTGTATTTAGGCCAGGGAAGCACCAGGGATTAGGGGAGAGACCCAGAGGAGATCCACTCATTTAAATAAATCAGAAACTCTTCCATAACGCACCCTGGGAACCCAGAGCCCCTTCACCACCGGAGGAAAACATGAGCAGCAAATACACACACAGATATAAAAACCCAAATGTTCCACATGAAGAAACAGCTGAGAGACCAGGGGACACTAAAGAGTGACGCATACAGCTGGGAGACCAGGGGACACTAAAGAGTGACGCACACAGCTGGGAGACCAGGGGACACTAAAGAGTGACGCACACAGCTGGGAGACCAGGGGACACTAAAGAGTGACGCACACAGCTGGGAGACCAGGGGACACTAAAGAGTGACGCACACAGCTGGGAGACCAGGGGACACTAAAGAGTGACGCACACAGCTGGGAGACCAGGGGACACTAAAGAGTGACGCACACAGCTGGGAGACCAGGGGACACTAAAGAGTGACACACACAGCTGGGAGACCAGGGGACACTTAAGAGTGACACACACAGCTGGGAGACCAGGGGACACTAAAGAGTGAGGCACACAGCTGGGAGACCAGGGGACACTAAAGAGTGACGCACACAGCTGGGAGACCAGGGGACACTAAAGAGTGATGCACACAGCTGGGAGACCAGGGGACACTAAAGAGTGACGCACACAGCTGGAGAGCAGGGGACACTAAAGAGTGACGCACACAACGGAGACCAGGGGACACTAAAAAGTGACGCACACAGCTAGAAGACCAGGGGACACTAAAGAGTGACGCACACACCTGGGAGACCAGGGGACACTAAAGAGTGACGCACACAGCTGGAGAGCAGGGGACACTAAAGAGTGACGCACACAGCTGGGAGACCAGGGGACACTAAAGAGTGACGCACACAACGGAGACCAGGGGACACTAAAGAGTGACGCACACAGCTGGGAGACCAGGGGACACTAAAGAGTGACGCACACAGCTGGGAGACCAGGGGACACTAAAGAGTGACGCACACAGCTGGGAGACCAGGGGACACTAAAGAGTGACGCACACAGCTGGGAGACCAGGGGACACTAAAGAGTGACGCACACAGCTTGTGACGTTCAGGATTATAAAGCCGAACAACTGCCGAATAAATATCTAAAAAGACCCTAACGCACATTTAGGAGACAGGAACATGTTCCATCCTCCACCTTCCATCCTCCACCTTCCACCCCCCACCCTCCACCTTCCACCCTCCACCTTCCATCCTCCACCCTCCACCTTCCACCCTCCACCTTCCCACCCTCCACCTTCCATCCTCCACCTTCCATCCTCCACCCCCCACCCTCCACCTTCCACCCTCCACCTTCCATCCTCCACCCTCCACCTTCCACCCTCCACCTTCCACCCTCCACCTTCCATCCTCCACCTTCCATCCTCCACCTTCCATCCTCCACCCTCCACCTTCCACCTTCCACCCTCCACCTTCCACCTTCCATCCTCCACCTTCCATCCTCCACCCTCCACCTTCCACCTTCCATCCTCCACCTTCCATCCTCCACCTTCCACCCTCCACCTTCCATCCTCCACCTTCCACCCTCCACCTTCCATCCTCCACCTTCCATCCTCCACCCTCCACCTTCCACCTTCCACCCTCCACCTTCCACCTTCCATCCTCCACCTTCCATCCCTCCACCTTCCCCTCCCTCCACCTTCCATCCTCCACCCTCCATCCTCCACCTTCCACCCTCCACCTTCCATCCTCCACCTTCCATCCTCCACCTTCCATCCTCCACCTTCCATCCTCCACCCTCCACCTTCCACCTTCCACCCTCCACCTTCCACCTTCCATCCTCCACCTTCCATCCTCCACCCTCCACCTTCCACCTTCCACCTTCCATCCTCCCACCTTCCATCCTCCACCTTCCATCCTCCACCTTCCATCCTCCACCTTCCACCTTCCACCCTCCACCTTCCATCCTCCACCTTCCATCCTCCACCCTCCACCTTCCACCTTCCATCCTCCACCTTCCATCCTCCACCTTCCACCTTCCATCCTCCACCTTCCATCCTCCACCCTCCATCCTCCACCTTCCACCCTCCACCTTCCATCCTCCACCTTCCATCCTCCACCTTCCATCCTCCACCTTCCATCCTCCACCCTCCACCTTCCACCTTCCACCCTCCACCTTCCACCTTCCATCCTCCACCTTCCATCCTCCACCTTCCACCTTCCATCCTCCACCCTCCATCCTCCACCTTCCACCCTCCACCTTCCATCCTCCACCTTCCATCCTCCACCTTCCATCCTCCACCTTCCATCCTCCACCCTCCACCTTCCACCTTCCACCCTCCACCCTCCACCTTCCATCCTCCACCCTCCACCTTCCACCTTCCACCTTCCACCTTCCATCCTCCACCCTCCACCTTCCACCTTCCACCTTCCATCCTCCACCTTCCATCCTCCATCCTCCACCTTCCACCCTCCACCTTCCATCCTCCACCCCCCCGACACACGACACGCTTTTAATGAAGATCTTCAGTCTCACAACTTGAAATGCTTTACTGATTGAGTGTACTGCAGCTCAGTCCCATTGTGAAACCAGAATGTTAAGTTTCCTGACTATTATAAAAACACAACATTTGTTACTATTTTTTTAAAAATGTCTACATTCAGCCTTCATTTTTTAAATTCTGACCTAATTAAAAAGATTCTGACTTAATTCTGAACATTGTAGAATTAAGATTACTTTTCCAAAATTCTGACTTGATTTGAATTTTTCTGAAAATCTCCACATTTTTTCAGAAATTCTGACATTTTCCCGAAAATCAATACTTTTTTTTACTATTTTCAGGAAACCTCAGAATTCAGACTTTTCTGAAAATTATCTGAAAATCTGTATTTTTTCCCTCAATTTTGTATTATTTTGTACTGGTACTTCTACTTTTACTCAAGTACAAGATCTGAATACTTCTACTTTTACTCAAGTACAAGATCTGAGTACTTCTACTTGAGCTCAAATACCAGATCTGAGTACTTCTACTTTTACTCAAGATCTGAATACTTCTACTTTTACTAGAGTACAAGATCTCAGTACTTCTACTTTTACTCAAGTACAAGATCTGAGTACTTCTACTTTTACTCAAGTACAAGATCTGAGTACTTCTACTTTTACTCAAGTACAAGATCTGAGTACTTCTACTTGAGCTCAAATACCAGATCTGAGTACTTCTACTTTTACTCAAGATCTGAGTACTTCTACTTTTACTCAAGTACCAGATCTGAGTACTTCTACTTGAGCTCAAATACCAGATCTGAGTACTTCTACTTTTACTCAAGATCTGAGTACTTCTACTTTTACTCAAGTACCAGATCTGAGTACTTCTACTTTTACTCAAGTACCAGATCTGAGTACTTCTACTTTTACTCAAGTACAAGATCTGAGTACTTCTACTTGAGCTCAAATACCAGATCTGAGTACTTCTACTTTTACTCAAGATCTGAGTAATTCTACTTTTACTCAAGTACCAGATCTGAGTACTTCTACTTTTACTCAAGTACCAGATCTGAGTACTTCTACTTTTACTCAAGTACAAGATCTGAGTACTTCTACTTTTACTCAAGTACCAGGGGCCTCATTTATAAACGGTGCGTACGCTCAAAAGATGGCGTACGCCAGTTTCTACGCAATGTTTGCGATTTATAAAAAACAAACTTGACGGGAAAATGTGCGGTCCTCCACGGACACTCTGACCCATGCGTAACTTGGAGAAATAAATAAATACGGAAATGTTGTTGATCACCCCTCGATGATGTTCTCTTGTTAAGAAATGTTTTCTCATAAATGATGCGGTAAGCAGGAGGACAGAATTACGTCTAAACTGACGCCGTTTTGCATTTCTATAGGTTGTAGATACGAGCATGGTTTTATATACTATCACGTTTAATCGTGTTTTATGCCGTTTGCCAAGACTTGATAAGTGGCTCGTAAAACCCAGGAGGTATGGAAACTAAGAACACCATATGTGGTAAACAGCTAATATAACACAACACATTGTATTTCCTTTAACTGGTGGATTATGGATATATAGTTGCTGATCGACAGCTGGAACACAAACCACCAAATACAACACAATAATTCAGATCCAGTCGTCATGACTACACTCCGGAGGGATTCCCCCATCATTTCTTACAGTTTCTCATCAAGGGGGGGGTCTCCTGTTCCCGGGACAAACACACTGCCTGAGGATGGTTATGTGTATTTTTTTTGTCATTAATCTTTTTCGGACCACTTATTTATTTATGTTGGTGACGATCCGACCTCCATGCTGCTACTCTGGTTCAAACTGCATCCACCAAACAATATGATTTATCTCCACCTCCCCAAAATAACCACAATCTGACACGGTGTGAGATGTCTTTTTTAGCTGTTCGGTCCTCATTCCCTGCGATCTTCTTCATGCAGTCAGTCAGAATGAATATTAATACCGGGCGTTTCTTTGACTATTTATAGGCACATATGGGCGTTACGTGAAGCCCGCAAAAGCTGCGCCGCATTTCGAGTTGATTGTGATTTATAAAGGGAAACCGGCGTAGGACGTGCCGCACGCACGTCCTACGCCGGTACGCAGTGTTTTATAAATCGGAAAATGTCTGTGCGTATTTATTTGCTTTGTCCTACATAAGCAACCTTCCCACGGGAATCCTACGCAAGGCTTTATGAATGAGGCCCCAGATCTGAGTACTTCTACTTTTACTCAAGTACAATATCTGAGTACTTCTACTTTTACTAAAGTACAAGATCTCAGTACTTCTACTTTTACTCAAGTACAATATCTGAGTACTTCTACTTTTACTAAAGTACCAGATCTGAGTACTTCTACTTTTACTCAAGTACAATATCTCAGTACTTCTACTTTTACTAAAGTACCAGATCTGAGTACTTCTACTTTTACTCAAGTACAATATCTGAGTACTTCTACTTTAATCAAGTACAAGATCTGAGTACTTCTACTTTTACTAATGTACCAGATCTGAGTAGTTCTACTTTTACTAAAGTACCAGATCTGAGTACTTCTACTTTTACTAATGTACCAGATCTGAGTACTTCTACTTTAATCAAGTACAAGATCTGAGTACTTCTACTTTTACTAATGTACCAGATCTGAGTAGTTCTACTTTTACTAAAGTACCAGATCTGAGTACTTCTACTTTTACTAATGTACCAGATCTGAGTACTTCTACTTTTACTCAAGTACCAGATCTGAGTACTTCTACTTTTACTAAAGTACCAGATCTGAGTACTTCTACTTTTACTCAAGTACCAGATCTGAGTACTTCTACTTTTACTCAAGTACCAGATCTGAGTACTTCTACTTTTACTAATGTACCAGATCTGAGTACTTCTACTTTTACTCAAGTACCAGATCTGAGTACTTCTACTTTTACTCAAGTACCAGATCTGAGTACTTCTACTTTTACTAATGTACCAGATCTGAGTACTTCTACTTTTACTCAAGTACCAGATCTGAGTACTTCTACTTTTACTCAAGTACCAGATCTGAGTACTTCTACTTTTACTCAAGTACCAGATCTGAGTACTTCTACTTTTACTTTACTCAAGTACCAGATCTGAGTACTTCTACTTTTACTCAAGTACCAGATCTGAGTACTTCTACTTTTACTCAAGTACCAGATCTGAGTACTTCTACTTTTACTCAAGTACCAGATCTGAGTACTTCTACTTTTACTCAAGTACCAGATCTGAGTACTTCTACTTTTACTCAAGTACCAGATCTGAGTACTTCTCCCCCTCTGGTTAAGGAGGTGAGGAGTCTTGTCTTTGTCCTCTCTCTCTGTGAACAAACATGGCTAGTGTTTCTGCCCGAGGCGTCTTCTTCACCTCTCAGGGTTACAGCCGGCTGCTAATCAGCAACAACACAAACCCCCAGCAGGCCGAGGGGCGGGGGGGGGAGACTGGGGGAGAGTGGGGGAGAATGGGGAGACGGCAGATGGGCCTGATGAATCCTGAAAAGGAGGAATTGAACTCCCGGAGAAGTTGCCAAGCGGCCGGCTGTAATTATCGCCGCGCCTTTGGGTTCATTGTCAATCAGAGTGACGGTTGGGCGAGCGACAGCTGGGGCAGATGGTGAGGGGAGAGGGAGAGAGAGAGAGGGGGGGAGAGAGAGAGAGAGAGGAGAGAGAGAGAGAGAGAGAGAGAGAGAGAGAGACGAGAGAGAGAGAGGAGGAGAGAGAGAGGAGAGAGAGGAGAGAGAGAGAGGAGAGAGAGAGAGAGAGAGAGAGAGGGAGAGAGAGAGAGAGAGGAAATGGGGGAGATTTCATAACATTCATCTGTTTGCAATAATATATCATATTCCAATGACTTGTATATAGATTCTCTCTGATCTGTGTTATTGTGTTGGAGGAGCCGGTGACCTCAGATCTTCATTAACATATCAACACTGTAGATACAGGCGGCGCGTGAGGCTCAGGTTTGGGAAGGCTGAACAACTTTTTTTACCTGACGCTGCCCGCCTCTGGCGTCTATCACTTTTCCAACCCAGTTTAGATTCAACCACGCCTACTTCCTGCAAGCATCGACGTAGCTCTACATGATAGCGTCATAGACGTCATCTCCGGCAGCCGGTGTAGCAGCCATGGATGTAGGTAGCAGCCATGGATGTAGGTAGCAGCCATGGATGTAGGTAGCAGCCATGGATGTAGGTAGCAGCCATGGATGGAGGTAGCAGCCATGGATGTAGGTAGCAGCCATGGATGTAGGTAGCAGCCATGGATGTAGGTAGCAGCCATGGATGTAGGTAGCAGCCATGGATGTAGGTAGCAGCTATGGATGTAGGTAGCAGCCATGGATGTAGGTAGCAGCTATGGATGTAGGTAGCAGCCATGGATGGAGGTAGCAGCCATGGATGGAGGTAGCAGCCATGGATGTAGGTAGCAGCCATGGATGTAGGTAGCAGATATGTCTGCAGCAGCCATGGATGTAGGTAGCAGCCATGGATGTAGGTAGCAGCCATGGATGTAGGTAGCAGCCATGGATGTAGGTAGCAGCCATGGATGTAGGTAGCAGCCATGTCTGCAGCAGCCATGGATGTAGGTAGCAGCCATGGATGTAGGTAGCAGCCATGGATGTAGGTAGCAGCCATGGATGTAGGTAGCAGCCATGGATGTAGGTAGCAGATATGTCTGCAGCAGCCATGGATGTAGGTAGCAGCCATGGATGTAGGTAGCAGCCATGGATGGAGGTAGCAGCCATGGATGTAGGTAGCAGCCATGGATGGAGGTAGCAGCCATGGATGGAGGTAGCAGCCATGGATGGAGGTAGCAGCCATGGATGTAGGTAGCAGCTATGGATGTAGGTAGCAGCCATGGATGTAGGTAGCAGCCATGGATGGAGGTAGCAGCCATGGATGTAGCTAGCAGCTATGGATGTAGGTAGCAGCTATGGATGTAGGTAGCAGCTATGGATGTAGGTAGCAGCTATGGATGTAGGTAGCAGCTATGGATGGAGG